CCTCGAAACACTTCGTCCATCTGGACCAAGGAGGCGCACAAGCGCAAAGCGTCATCATGAGGCAACGACACACGCCGGGATGGAAGGCGATAACAGTCGGCCTGCTTTCCATCCTTGCTGGATCTGCTCTCGCCGGCCCAGACCTCACAGCAAAACATGAGAAGGGAAGGTGCGCAATGAGGGGGCAATGTGGAAAGCAGGGCTTCTTTGGCTCAGAACTGCCTTGCCCGGACAACGGTCCAGCCAAAACACCTGACGACGACGTACGCAAGAAGCTTGTAGACATTTGTGGCACGCAGTGGTCCGATTCAGACATTTGCTGTGACGAAGATCAGCTTGACGCCCTCAAAACGAACCTCGACCGCGCTACCCCCATCATCAACGCCTGCCCTGCCTGCAAGGAAAACTTCTACAACCTGTTCTGCACATTCACGTGTTCCCCTGACCAGTCAACCTTCGTTAATATTACTGGAACGGAGCCTAAGGGCGACAAATACTTAGTAACGGAATTGGATAACTTAATCGCGGACCAGTACGCGTCGACCTTTTACGACAGCTGCAAGGATGTCAAGTTCGGTGCGACAAATGGCAAGGCTATGGACTTCATCGGCGGTGGCGCAAAGAACTTTACCCAGTTTCTGAAATTTCTGGGCGATAAGAAGTTCCTAGGCTCGCCTTTTCAGATTAACTTCCCGCGACCATCTCAAGACCTCTTCCCTGGCATGACCGCGATGAACAAGCACGCCTATCCCTGTGATACCGAAGATGAGAAGTACCGTTGTGCCTGTCTGGACTGTGGCACGTCTTGCACTGAGCTTCCGGCTGTCCAAGAAGGAAAGCAATGCCGCGTCGGCCTGCTTCCCTGCCTATCCTTTGCTGTCATCATCATCTACTCCTGCTTCATTGGACTCTTATGCATCGCTGTGGCTGGCCATGTCGCATATCAGAAACATTCGAGACATAAGACTGAGCGAATGCGTCTTTTGCAAGACACGAGCCCCAGCGACGATGAGGACGAAGGTGATATAGTACATAATGTTGGCATGTTAGATCGCCCCACCAAGCACTACTTTGTCAACACCTGGTGCGATCGCATGTTCAGCCGTCTTGGATACATCTGCGCCCGTTTCCCAGCCATTACCATCATCACCAGCATCATAGTAGTAATCCTCATGAGCTTGGGCTGGATGCAGTTCCAGATTGAGACCGATCCTGTAAATCTGTGGGTCTCACCAGATTCCGCTGCTGCTCAAGAAAAGGCCTTTTTCGACGAGAAATTCGGACCTTTCTTTCGCGCTGAGCAAGCCTTCCTCGTCAACGATACACTCGGCAGTCCCGGTCCCGTTCTCAGCTATGAAACGCTTGATTGGTGGTTCGGTGTTGAGAACCAGATTCAGCGTCTCAAGTCTGCCGAGCACGGTGTTACTCTAGATCAGATTTGCTTCAAGCCAGTAGGGGATGATTGTGTTGTTCAGTCCGTTACCGGTTACTTCCAAGGTGATTTCGCCAACGTCGTACCGAGCAGTTGGAAGGATGACCTGCTACAGTGTGTCGACAACCCATCTCAGTGTCTCCCCACCTTCCAGCAGCCACTCGATTCCCATCTTCTCTTCGGTGGTGTTGAGGAGAGCGTTCTTGACGCTAAGGCACTTGTGGTGACCTGGGTTGTACAAAATCATCCCAAGGGCACCCCCGAAGAGCAACGTGCAATGGACTTTGAAAACGAAATGAAGAATTACCTCAAATTCGTGTCCGATGAGGCCAATAAGAGAGGCCTTCGGCTGAGCTTCAACACTGAAGTCAGTCTCGAGCAAGAGCTCAACAAGAGCACCAACACAGACGCTAAGATCGTGGTGATCAGCTACATCATCATGTTTTTGTACGCATCATTGGCGCTCGGCTCAACCACACTCACTGTTCAGTCTATCCTCCGCAACCCCGCCAACGCCCTAGTACAGTCCAAGTTCATGCTAGGCATAGTGGGTATTCTGATTGTACTCATGTCAGTTTCTGCCTCGGTTGGTCTTTTCTCAGCAGCCGGCATCAAGGTCACCTTGATCATAGCAGAGGTGATTCCGTTCCTTGTCTTGGCCGTTGGTGTAGACAATATCTTCCTTATTGTGCACGAATTTGAGCGCATCAACATCAGCCACCCTGAAGGAACCGTCCCGGAACGCGTTTCTCGAGCTCTCGGACGCATGGGCCCCTCGATCTTGCTTTCTGCTCTTACTGAGACGACTGCATTCGCTCTAGGATGTGCTGTTGGTATGCCTGCGGTTCGCAACTTTGCCGCATACGCCGCAGGAGCTGTGTTTATCAACGCCATTCTCCAGGTTACCATGTTCATTGCCGTACTTTCCCTTAACCAGGAACGTGTTGAATCAAACCGTGCGGATTGCTTCCCATGTGTTCGCGTTAAGCGCGCTGATCCAGTCGGTATGGGTTTTGCAGTGGGAGAGGAAGGTGCACTACAACGCTTCATACGTAAGACATATGCTCCAGCAATTCTGGGTAAGAAGGCCAAGATTGGCATTCTCGCACTATTTTTCGGAATTTTCACAGCTGGCATTGCTCTGTTCCCCCAAGTTGAGCTTGGTCTGGATCAACGTATTGCTATTCCAAGCGATTCTTACCTAATCCCCTTCTTCAACGACCTGTACGACTACCTTGATGTCGGTCCTCCGGTTTATTTCGTCACAAAGGAGCTCAACGTTACTGAGCGCAAGCCGCAAAAAGAGCTCTGTGGACGATTCTCCGCTTGTGACAGAAGCAGTCTGGCAAACATCATCGAAGCAGAGCGCAAGCGCCCCGAAGTTTCGTATCTTGCAGCTTCTGCTGCAAATTGGCTTGACGATTTCTTCCTGTGGTTGAATCCCGAGAACGAAAAGTGCTGTGTGGAGAATGGCAAGCCCTGTTTCCAAGATCGCCAACCATCTTGGAACATGACTCTTTATGGTATGCCTGAAGGCGAGGAATTCATCAAGTACTTGGAAAAGTGGGTTGAGGCTCCAACCACTGAAGATTGTCCCATCGGCGGAAAAGCTGCGTACTCGGATGCTCTGGTCATTGACTCCAAGCACTTAACAATTCCCGCCTCCCATTTCCGTACTTCGCATACCCCGCTGCGCTCGCAGAAAGACTTCATCTCTGCATACAAGGCAGCGCGCCGCATCTCCAAAGAGATATCAGAGGACGTCGAAGCCGAGGTGTTCCCATACTCGAAGTTTTACATCTTCTTCGACCAGTACGTATCTATTGTTCGCCTGGCTGGTGCTCTGATTGGATCTGCTCTAGCGGCAGTACTTGTCATCACGACCATCATGCTCGGCTCCATCGTCACCGCACTGGTTGTGACGCTGGTAGTTGGTATGACGGTCTCCGCCATTATCGGGTCTATGGCTGTCCTTGGTGTTTCGCTCAATGCCGTCTCACTGGTCAACCTCATCATTTGTGTGGGTATTAGCGTCGAGTTCACGGCACATATCGCTCGAGCATTCACTTTCCCAAGTCGTGCGACTATGGAGCGGGCACCGAGACACCGCTTCCGGGGCCGTGATGCCCGCGCATGGACGGCCATGGTCAATGTAGCGAGCAGTGTGGTCAGCGGAATTACCATCACGAAGATCCTAGGAGTAGGAGTGTTGGCTTTCACTAGGAGCAAGGTATGTGCCATCCGTTTTATATATCTTATATCAGTATATTGTGCGCATGAACTGACATGATTTGCTAGATCTTCGAAATCTACTACTTCCGCGTATGGGTCGCTCTCGTGCTTTGGGCCTCTACTCACGCTCTTGTTCTACTTCCTGTCCTTCTTTCAATTGTAGGAGGCAAGGGCTATGTCGATCCCGAATCTGAAGGCGGCCTCGAGCAAGACCTCCGCCGTCGGCAGTACCCTGCACTACTGGCTGACGACGAAGAATACGACAGCGATGACTAGGAGTCTGTCTCGTACCGTGCCATCGGTCGAACTGGGACTAGAATCAAGGATCTAGTCAGCAAGAAATGTAAACTTACTTATCTGCGTCTTCTGGAGTTATGGATGGGTCTTGGCGAAGGATTTTGGCTGTGTTTGGGCGGGGTTCGAGACGATCACGAGCAGAGGGACAAAGCACCGTCATTGACAGTACCTGATGCAGCAGATCCTCCAGCTCCAGCTCCACAATTTCCAACTACATTAGTGTCTGCTGCTGTTGCATCTGCATTTGGGACGGTTACTGACCCAGCTCTTTCATCTTATACCAGGACCGTGTCGACAAAGACTCGCACAGGTCTTCATTCTTTTCCAAGTATAGAAGAAATGGAGTCGTTTAGTTTGTTGGGACGAGGTGGCTCCCCCAACCTTGGCTCCAATCGTGACAACAACGATGACTTGTATGAGCTTTGAGTGAGCTGGTTGTTGTATTCTACTACGTAGACTATAGTTGTATTACTAAATAATAGCAGACTGTAGCGTACATGAAAAGGACAGAAAAATCAGTTGCTTATGTAATATCACATGTAGCTTCCAAGATGGAACCGTGATGGAAGCGCGTTCAATCCAAGAATGGATTCCAACTCCAATTCGATTAGGCTACCGTCAAATTTATCCGGTGTGGCTGGCGAGCGCAACAGGTGTTTTGACGAAATTGCTGGGAATGGCCATGAGGTTTCGTGTTGGCCGCCATTGTTCCACCAATCTCAGCAACGCATCTCGCTAGCCACATGGCCCGCAAAGAGATGACGCCTTCTCAGATCCAGCATCTAGCCATGCCACGCAGTCTGAGCACCACATGATGCAAGCTTGAGTGGATCTCGGAGGAGGCCTACGTGCGGAGAGACTGCTAGACTTGGATATGCCGCCGACCTGAGGCTCGGTGACGTCTCCGACCCCTCCACCCCACCTCCGACAACTTTTCCCCCAGACTACCTTTTAATAGCTCCCAACACCCGCACTTTAGCTCATCACAGACTCTTTTACTTTTTTTTTCCAAGATACCCCATTCACATTAATTGCAAACATGTCTCTCGGAAGGAAGGTTACCCTCAACACTGGCGCTACCATCCCGTGAGTACCTCAATAGCACAGTACGTACATATGATGACATTCACTGACTACTTTTTTTTCCAGGCAATTGGGCTTTGGTACCTGGCAAGCTGAGCCTGGCCAGGTTGGCGCTGCCGTTCTTGAGGCCCTCAAGGTTGGCTACCGTCATCTGGATCTCGCCAAGGTCTATGGCAACCAAAAGGAGATTGCGGAAGCCCTCAAGAAGGCCTTTGGTGGTGAGGTCCCTGGCCTCAAGCGTGAGGACGTCTTCATCACATCCAAGCTCTGGAACTCTCAGCACCGTCCACAGGACGTACCGGCAGCTCTCGACGACTGCCTGGCTGAGCTCGGCCTCGACTACCTCGACCTCTACCTCGTCCATTTCCCCGTTGCCTTTGACGAGCGGTCCGATGTCCACAGCAACCTCTTCCCCTTGGAGGGCGAGGATGTCAAGATGCTGGATGAAGTCTCAATTGTCGACACATGGAAGGCCATGACACAGCTGCCTAAGGAGAAGGCCCGCGCTGTCGGTGTCTCTAACCACACCAAGGAGCACCTCCAGGCTTTGATTGACGGTACCGGTGTGACACCCGCTGCCAACCAGATCGAACGTCACCCACGTCTCCTCCAGCCAGAACTCATCCAGTACTGCAAGGAGAAGAACATTCACGTCACCGAGTACTCGGTAAGAAATGCTTTCCCTACAACTTATCGTTCGAACAGCACTAACCCTAATTTCAGGCATTCGGTAACAATATGCTCGGCGTCCCTCTTCTCGTTCAGCACGACACCATCAAAGAAGTTGCCAGCCGAATTGGCGCTACCCCCGCACAAGTTATCCTCGCCTGGGCTCAAGTAGGCGGCCACTCCGTCATCCCCAAGTCAGTTACCGCCTCACGCATCCAGGAGAACTTCAAGGAGGTTGAACTGTCCGAGGAGGATTTCCAGAAGGTCGAGGAGATTGGAAAGAAGGAGCGAAGGCGATTCAACATTCCTTACATTGCCAACAAGCCTAGGTGGCCCGTCAACATCTTCGACGAGCCCGAAGAGAAGGAAGCGCCACACAAGGTCATTGTCTAGATGTCTGAGTATATGAAACAGAAATAGAATGATATCTCGATAGTGTGAACATGCAATGTTTGATTATAGGAAGTAATTTTATCTCATGTGTCGGCTCGCCCTATATGTGTTCGTCTCTCAAGTTACCGGAAGTTTCCAAGACTCTCAAGGCATCCGTAACTCATTTGTGATATAATAGCCAAGATTAAGGATTACCCTGGTACTGGTGAATATTCCCTGTCTGTGAAGGGTCATATCAACTAGCACCAAGGTGAAGGTGTAACTAACGGCTTTGAGCGCACCGCACCGTAGGTATCATCGTCACGCATAACCGCGTTGACACCATGTGTTGCAGGAGCGCTTTGATTCATTACTCAAGCTACTTGAAATGGTGTTCATACAGTTTGAATGACTCAGGTACACGTGTTCTCACAGCGTACCTTGGGAAGGCCTCACCTTGGCGCCTCTTGAATGATCTCATACTACCCTTGGTGAGTGCACCTTCCTGTCAGTGCAAGCGCACCAATGAGGCAAATAATATTACATTTGTATTGGAATTTCCCCTTCCTCATGCTTGGCGGGCGAGTGAGCGCTGATTGCATGTGATTGATTCCGCTTCACCTCCACCTTGGGTAGACAAAAACCTTTTGGGACCAAGACTGCCTCCGATCACCTTTCACTCGCGCTTATATCTCTACTTTTATAAAGTTAGCTCACCTGCGTATTGCTTCCACAAATCCGCCACACAACCAAAATTCAACCACTCAATTACTACCATGACTTTAGTCGCTGGCACCAGGGTGTCAAATGAACGCCTCATCTTCGTTAAGAACGTCCCAAGCTACGTCGCTGATGACCAGGTTGAAGAGCTGTTCTCACCTTATCGCCCGGTAAGTTACAAGAACATCTACAAAGGGAGCAGTATCACAACAATCGTCGTTGGCTTCCGGACCACGAGCGACGCAGCGCGTGCCCAGCGTGAGACAGATGGGAAGTGTCTAGGCAGCGCCATCATCAGGGTGGAAATGTATGAACAGCGGCGTTCGATCCGCTATATCAGAGATCACGGGTACAACAGTACACCATGGGATGTTGAGGAGGACGAGGGCGAGGAGGAATACGAAGAGGAGCCTTACGAGGAAGTTCCGCCAAAGGAAGCCACTGCGGGTTTCTCACCTTACTACCCAGCTCCAGTCAAACTGTCTAGTACAGCTGCACAGGGTACCACATGGGCGCACATTGCGAGCCGCCAACATACCCAAGGAGTGACTAATGCACCCGCCATCACCAAAGCAGACTCGGCGCCGAGTCCCGCTTCAACGCCCATCGCGACGCCGCAGATCCCTACCGTTATTCCCGTCAAACCGATTGAGGCAGAAGCTCAAGTCACACAACCATCATCACCGGTAGCAGCGGTCTCGCCCAGCAACAATACCACTATCGCAATATCTGAACCAGCTGCTCATGATGAGCCGTCCAGCGACGGGGCCCATGAACCAGAATCGGAACATCAGGTTATGAGGTGGAGCGAGATTCTCAGATGGGCGGAGCACAGCAGTGGCGATGGCATTCAAGAGATGCAGTCTAGGCCGTATGTGCCAATTGATACAATGGTACGTATTCGACAAGTCCATTGTCGTGATTGTGCTTTTTGCAAGTCGATGGAGAGAGTGCGCAATGGGCGCGAGTAGTGGGGAAGATGATATATGGGTGGAGGCTGATTGGTGAGGCTGGGAGTTTCTTTTACGAGGCATACATGGTAAGTACAAGAAGGAGGTAATGATTGGAGACATCTTGACAATTTTGTAGCTTGTGAATAATGAGGGTGGAGAGATGGGTGGAAATAGAGACGGTGCATTGGTGTTTTGAAACACACATGGCGATTCGGGTACTAAAGGGTTTGGGCGTCAGCGGTGAGCGATAATTAATGGAGATCAAGTTCTGGAGCCGGGTTGCGATCTAAGGAGGCCGCCCAAGGTTAAAAGGGCGTTATCCAGATGTGTCACGGGTACACATAGCTGCTCACACGGGTCATGTGGTGATAATGGGAATTGGAATTTAGATATCCAACCAAATGCACTTGGCAAACCAACGGCTTCACCGGATAGTATCCAATCCGGGGCGTCATGAAAGGATCATTACTTTAAGGCGCTCCAGTTAAAAAATCAACAACCATCAGCTAGCCCTTCGCCCATCAGCGCATCATAGCCAAACAGTTGACGACTGGCTCGCACCTTTTCCGCTAGCTGCCGCGCGAGCCCTCAACGCCCTCAGCTAAAAAAAAATATCCAGATGCAGCTTTGTACGCGTACATTGGGACACGACAAAGACGGCCTCTTCAGCCGTACCCGCACATCAGATTGCGAAACCCCATTTATTACCAACCAATCAGCCACCGTGTTTCCCCTACTGTTTCGCATAGTCTGGCCTGCTGCCCACCCCACCCACCGTCCGCATGCCCACTCCCCGCCTCCCCCCCGCCACCCCAATCAATTAATTCCGCACGGGACCCTTACTCCTAGATAAGCTTGCCCTTTCTCTCTCCCCTCCCCTCCCCGAAAGAAAATAAAAGA